GGAATGCAATATCGCAACTTTCATCCCAGCAGAATTGTCGCTTCTCCTCGGTTAGCTTGTGCAGAGGTTTGGCTATATCTGCAAAGTTCTTCACAAATTGCCGATAATAAGAGCACAAACCCAAAAATGCTCTAACCTGTGTCTTGTCTTTTGGGACCGGCCACTCCTTGACAGCAGCAATTTTCTCTGGATCCGTGCGGATACCTTCTTCCGACACTACATACCCCAAAAAACTAACTTGCCGTTTGAATAGTGAGCACTTCTTTGGACTCAACTTGAGGTTGGCACTCTGGATCTTCATGAGCACGCGTTCCAGGTTTTGAAGGTGTTCCTCAAACGTACGGCCTACGATGATGATGTCATCCAAATAGACCAGACAGGCATCTCCAATTAGCCCGGTAAGTACAAGTTCCATCAATCTTTCAAACATTGCTGGAGCATTGCACAATCCAAACGGCATAACTTTAAATTGCCACAGACCCTTTCCTGTGGAAAATGCAGTTTTCTCCTTGTCCTTAGGGTCAATTTCAACCTGCCAGTAGCCACTTTTCAGGTCCAGCGTACTAAACCACTTTACGCCTGTGAGCATGTCCAGCGTGTCATCAATTCTAGGCAAGGGATAGCTGTCCTTCTTCGTAACGTCGTTCAGGCGGCGGTAGTCAACACAAAACCGCATGCTGCCGTCCTTCTTCTTTACCAGCACCACAGGTGAACACCATGGACTAGATGAAGGTTCAATAACACCATCCTTCACCATTCCCTCAATCATGGTTTCCACTTCCTTTTCACGTGCTACAGGCAATCTTCTTGGCCGCTGACGAATAGGCAATTCTTGTCCTGTGTTTATTTTGTGTTGAACTAAGCCAGTCTTTCCTATGTCAGCTTCGTTTGACGAGAAAACATTGGCGTACTTGAGTAACAACTTCTTCGCCTTGACCATTTCATTCGGGGAGAGAACGCTGCGACAGTCTTCTAAAAGTGTGGTCACTCTCGTTTGTCCATCCTTGCTAGGGGTCCCGGTCGATAGATATTCGCACCGACGCAACCAATCCACTTCCTCACTAGTACCAACCAATGTGCCTTTTTCTATAATCTGTTCCTGATCACAAAGGTTCAACACACGTACTCCTGAGATGTCGGTGGTTCTGACCAAGGTTCGAGCCACTTTCCATGGAAGGTCATTGTCTACCCTTTCCACGAGTACACAACGATGAGCTTGCCCAGGACTCCGAGGAAGACTAACCGGCACAATCGTTTCCGATTTCGGCGGAAGAACAATCTTCTTAAGGCTGTACACATTCCCTGGTAACGCCCCTTCCATGAAAAGTTCTTCTTGTCCACATTTCAAAACACCTTGCTTAACGTCGATCTCACAACAATTCTTCCTCATAAAGTCTAGGCCCAGGATGCAGTCGTCCATTATATCAGCCACGATGACATTATGCAGGTAGATCATGTTGCCTAGCTTCAACTCCATCTCCTTCTCTCCACGGACGGGTATGCACTGACCAGTGGCTGTCACCAAATTAATGCGTTCTCGGTTATATGCGGAGTCACCAAGGAACCGACTTATAAGTTGGGAACTGACAACCGTGCGAGAGGCTCCAGTGTCTATGGTCAGTTTACATGGCGTTCCGTTGACTTCGCCCTTGATGATTAGGCTGTTCCCATCATGAGTTTGTGAGATCGAAATCCTTGGGGCTCTTTTAACATCAGCCAGCACCCGCCAGTTTCCCTGCTGCTGCTGGGCGGTGCTATTATCCGCACTACCCTCTCGAGATCGATCACCTTCCCTTCCTACAGTTCGCTTAGGGCAGCTGGATCGAAGATGGCCCCTTTCTCCACCTCTCCGTAGCACCTAGGGCTGTAGCTTTTATTGCGGTCCTGAACTTTAGCTGTTGCAACCTCCCTGACGCGGTGGGAACGATGATCCTGCCGCACGGCTTCCACCTCCAGTGCATGGGTCAAGGCGTCCTTAAGCGTCTCGTGGTGCCCGAGCCTCACAGCAGCTCTGACTTCAAGGTCACGGATGCCGTCGATGAATGTCTGCACCAGGTTCCCTACAATAAGCGCAGGTACAGACTGGTACGCTTTTCGAACCAGCTTCTCCACCTCAAGGGCCCACTGCTGCAGGTTTTCGTTACTGCGTTGCATGCGATCTTTGAGCTGCGCACGAAAGACGTGTTCCAGGTGAGCGTCGCCATATCTCGCCTCCAATGCCTCAAGGAGCTGCTCGTAAGTCACTTCCTTACCGAGAGCTTCCAGAACAGTTAATGCCTGGTCGCGCAGGCCTAGGGTGAGAGCAGTCATGGCCTGACTTTTATTCCAGCCGTTCGCTTTCATGACAGCCTCGAACTGGATTTTATAGGCCGACCAGGAAGAACTCCCGTCGAACGGCGGCACTTTGAATCCACGTAGCGAAGGTGTTGTAGCTACCACGGGAGCTATAACTCCATCCCCAAGTTTGAGGTCGTCCAGCGTTTTCTTCACATCAGCCATCACGTTGTCAACCCGATTGTTCACTTGGTCGATTCGGGTTTCAGCTTCCGACAGGCGGTTGTCAAGTTGAGCAACCCTATCCTTCACCTCCTTTATCTCTTTCCCGAAGGTAGCGTGAAGGTCCTTCCTGAGGAGCATCTGTTCTTCCATACCGCGCTGCAGCTGCTCTTCCAGCCGACGGGTCTGTTCCTCCTGTCGGCGGGCCTGTTCCTCCTGTCGGCGGGCCTGTTCCTCCTGTCGGCGAGCCTGATCCTGCAGCATCATCATCAGAGCACCTAAGTCAGGTGCTGCAGATGCAGGAGCTGCTGACGGGCCAGCCTCCGTGGTTAGCAACTGGCCCTCCGACGTTTGCGGCGTTGCATTACCAAATCGTCTCTGGTTCGTCTCCTGTTGGCGTTGACTTCGGGTACGGATACCCTCCGTGTCGTCTTTAGGTAAAATCGGCATATTTGATCCCACTTCTGACACCAATTGTTACGAACTTGGGGTTCGAGACAATTAAAAACTGCCGATTAAATTACCAAAATTGACACTTTAATTACGGATACTAATTACAATCTAAAAACACACTAATAATAAAACACAGTTCGCCGTTATTTCGCTTCGAAGTATTCTCTTGTATCGCCAATTCAATACTGCCCCGGTCGTGGTCTATACCGGCCTTATATAGGGCCGCAGATAGTTTCCAGAACCTTCTACTGTAGCGACATCTAGAATGTTCGAGTACATATCGGTCCCGAAATTTCTGGAAGGATCTCGACTCTCCTAGTTCTGCTACTCGACACTAGAGGGCGCTAGTGTGACTAGTGTTGCCATGTACAAGACATTAATAGTGGCGCGCAATACTTTCATTTACTCGACACTAGGGGGCGCTAGTGTAACTAGTGTTGCCATGTACAAGACATTAATAGTGGCGCGTAACAATATTAACATGGGTGCCTCATGGGTGCCTATTTAAAACTAATGTGGAGTGATCTGAGAGCGATCCATTAACGCCATGTTAACCAAGTAAAAGTTTTAGACTATAGGATAAAGACTTTTTTTATTTACTATCAATTAAAAGCGGGTAACTATAAAATAAAAATTTCAGTGTGTATGTATATCTGAGAACCCCCTCCTTTTTGAAATTGGTTAAAATTAAACGTTACATGATGTCCTTATTGCATTCGATTGAATTATTGTGTATAATATAATATCTTTAAATTTTATTACGTCTGCATTTTTGTACCATTAAAATATGTATACATAATTAAGTTATATTAGCACCGTCATTATTGTGTTTATTTTATTCCATTTTATATTCTAATAAAATACGTCTACATACGTAATACGTAATCTTTATTTAATCGGTTAATTATAATTAATCCATAAAATAGTGAATTGCACAATTCGATTATTCGCAAGCGTCAGAAACTGGTAAACTGGCGTAGGTACATTCGACTCGCGCGCACTAACATAATAACCCTGCGTCACTTTGACGCTCGTGTTTTGTACTAGACTGCGTTTCTACCGGGTGATAATTCTATGTGATCATTAAATTAAATAAAATCTTATTTAATCATTAATTCGTGAATATTCATTAATGGGAATGAGCCTCTCCGGTTTTAGTACTGGACTTAAATGTCACACTTGCGAATAACAAATAAGGCTCGCAATATCAGACGTTTCTAACCTCTCAATAAAGAGTAATAGTCTTCTGTGTCTTACATGTTACACTCTGCTGCTCGTCACTAGTTTAAGAGTTATTTTACATCTAACGACGAAAGTGTCTTAGCATTTCCCATAGCTACCCTTTGAGATATTCGCGATGCGAAGTGGAATAATGGATTTTATTACGCTAACAACAACAACAGAACAACAACACCATAGAGTATAATTAGTTAAATATCAATTATTTTTGGGGATATTATAATTATTCATTGTTATTCTCATCGATTGACTTCTGATGATGGTAAATAGTTCCGTTTTTTATTTTTGTTTTTACTAACAATTTTTTGTTATTAATTTTATGCAAAAAGTAAAAGAAGAAACAAATATGTCAATAGTTATGTACGGACGTTTAATTCCGAACAACGAAATTGTCATTCACTTTACTATAATAACTAAATAAGCTCAAGTACTTCATATACCCTTATTGGTTACGTTGTAATTTTAAATCAAATAATATAATCGCATCTACACGGGATATGTAAACTGACGTCTAAAAGTAAATCTAAGAGGAGTTACACTGTATTGGATATAGTGACTAGGAATTTACGTCTTATTTTACGCAATATTTCTTCTGAAATTACTATGAGTTGCTTAACGACTAGCAGATTATTGCGTACTCTTTCGTTGCTGTATTTTAAACGCTGTTTTATTAAATAAAATTGTTGTTGTTGTTGGTCGACGGTCCGTTACAATGCGATTCCTGTGAGTGTGGTGTGGTGTGCGTGTAGGAGGGTGGCGGTGTCGCGGGGTGGTGGTGGAGTCCGGAGCGTGCGCTGCGTGTGCACGCGCGGCTGCAGCGTGCGCTCGCGAGCTGCGAGCTCGGGCTGCTGCAGGTGTACTCGCCCGCCGCCAGCGTGCCCGCACTACCCGCCGCAGGGTTACGTGACGCCGTTGAGAAACACGCTGCCGACCAACCTGTGCTCGTGCTCAGGTACGCACGCACCTGCACTTTTTTTCTTGGGGAAATCCTCATAGATACCTTTCGCTGCTGGGGCAACGAAAAGATTATGGCGGACTTCTACCAACTAAAACCGCACAGTGGTCACCATCAGCGTATCGAGAGGTCCCGAAATCTCCGTTCGGACCGCAACCGAGGCCTCTCCATCGCTTTGCTACAGTAATAGCACGTTCCGGGGGCAGTATTTGTTACCCCCAGCACCCTCGTAGTACTACCACGATGTCTCGATACCACTTCAGAGTCATCGTCCTCCATGAGGGTTATATAACTAGGCGTTTGAGGCCCCCGAGCATCTGCAACCCAAGAGGACCCGTTTCTGGAAGGAGAACACCATTTTCAAGAGGTGTAGGGAAGTTCCGTCCGATTCGGTTCACCAGGATTGTCCGTTCTCGTTCCCACGCTGGACATACTACGTGCGTAACTTAAAGCGTAGTTTACCGTCGCGTCGCATTCGATCTTACTCAGATAATCACCAAAGCACCTCTGCCCTACGCATCTGCACTTGCACTAGCACTCTCACACGACCCAGTGAGCCACTCAGCCGGTGTCTAGCAATCAGCCGGCTTCTATCCTAGGTAGTATTAATAGTCAAAGTTTTTCTGACGTTACAATGATAATCTTGTCTTTCTAAGCGATCAATATTACATTTCTATAACAGGCCAAATCCACTATTTCAATACCTTTCAAAGAAATAACAAGTAGAGATACTTCTCTTTGACGGAAAAAATAAGTTACCTACACACGTGGATATCGAGTTCTACCATTTAGTAACTTAACATGTACTACTACTTTAATAACCTATGCGTAATTAATAGCTTCCGTACATTTGGAACTTGTGGTACAATCTGCCATTTTAATAAGTTTGGAATGAGAAATCTAATTGCTTTCTGTAAATAATTAATTGTTTTTAGTTACGACTATACATTCTAATATGCAATTTCATTATCGTGCTTAACCGTAATAAATTTGTTTGTTTAGTCTGGGAAGATTCTCAATGCATTCAAACGCAGTGGTAAAGCATTTATGGAACGAGATTCGGCACGATGGACCAACTTTCCTCTCAACGAATCAAAGCCGTGAGTACTCAATACAAAAATATAAATGTAGTCGAAGACCATGTGAGCAAATTGCTCGAAGAGGGTAGGGTTAAAAGTACTCGGATACTTAGACGTGCATGAGAGAGAGGTATGTAAGGATCGTGACACTTGGCGATCTGTTCTCTCTGGCTACCCCGTCAGGGATTGTGCGTGAAGATAAGTAGTCTTCCAATAATAAATATAAATATAAACATTGTGTATATCTAACAAAACATTGGGCTATCATTTGAGTGATCGTATTGACTGAAGATCTCGAAGTCAATACGAGGGCGGCACTGAAAATATCGGGAATCAAGGAAGTGACCCAACATTACTATTTAAAAATGTATTTATTGCTTTTCGAAGTATTCTCCGCGAAATTTGACACATTTTTCCATACGATGGAACCAATCATGGAAGCAACCATTCCATTCTTCAGGTGATGAAAATCTCTGTCCACGCAATTTATTCTTTATTTTAGGGAAATTATAGAAATCATTAGGGCTTAGGTCGGGGCTGTACGGCGGATGGTCTAATAATTCTATGTTTTCTTGCTCCAAAAACTCTTTTGTTCTGTGTGCGGTGTGAACTCGCATTGTCGTGATGGAGGATGGTGCGGCGGTTGCAGTTCTCTTTACGAAGTTCAGAAACAACCTGTGGCAAACAAATGCTAGCATACCATTCTGCATTAACCGTTCTTTATCCCTCAAGAGGAATGGTCGTAACATGGCCGGTTTTGGAGACAAACGTGGCCACCATTTTTTTTGCAACACTCTGTGAACGAACAATTTTTGTTGGCTTTAACTCGTTTTCGAATACCCAAACTCGTGACTGGTTTTTTGTTTCGGGTTCGTACGCATACAGCATTTGAGGATCTCGCTTGGATTCTTTCGAGAGTTCTGACGCACCAAGTAACGCGAGCCGCTTTTTGCTCTTCACAGAGCGAATGCGGTATCCATCGGGAAAACAACTTTTTTACACCTAATTGTTCATGCAAGATTATTTGTATTTGACTCATCCCAATGTCTAAAGTTGCCTGAATTTCGCGGTATGTCACATGTCGATCTTCCTCAATCAGCTTACGCACAGCATCAACGTTTTCTTGGGTGACTGCAGTTTTTGGACGACCTTGACGGGGATCATCACTGAGCTTGACACGTCCACGTTGAAATTCAGCAAACCAGCGATAAAATGTGGTTTTGGATGGGGCTTCATCACCAAATGTACAAATCATCCGGTCAACACACTGATTTTGTGTTAAACCACTTCGAAAGTCATAATAAATCATCGCTCTTCAATTTTCTCGAGTCAATTCCATTTTCTCAACGACTAAACAAGTTTGATAAAACCTTGTGACAAGATGAAGAGAGAATCTTTAAAAAAAATGGTATTCGATTTTTAAAACCAAGGAGTTTTCAATTGAAAATATTTTAATATGACAGGAACAGTGGAAATATTCCATTCCTGATACTTTTAGTGCAGCCTATATACTTGTAATTTTACATATAAATAAAATTGCGATATCTGTCTGTAATTAGTAATTACATATAAATAAATTTGAGCTGTAGTATAGGCCTTTTAGTTGGGAGGTTATTTGCGTACTATTAAGATAAAAAGAATGTTTTTAAAGTTTTTGTCCGTCTGTTAGTCCAGTCTAATATTTGTAATAACTGAACATATTGTGATCTAGGTATCTTATTAGAAAAACACTGAAAAAACTTTTTTAGATTGAAATTTTCCACAGTAAAAAGTCCTTACACTTCTACTACTTGTTTCCTATGGTGAGTGTAGAGAACCGGAGGCATTTTTTTACTGGTAACAATGCATTCCATCTTATTCCTAATAAGGTGACATCGCATCTGTACTTTTTTAAATTGAGGATAGTTTTGGTGAAAAATTATGTTTTTATTTTTTTTTTATTTTAACACTTATACTACAAAATCATAAGTATTGAACGATTACGGGATAAGATTTTATTTCGTAAAATTAATAGATATTTAATTTTTATTTTTATTTATTCCTATACAATGTGTGAAAATGTTTTTCGTTTTGTTTACAACAATGAATAATATTATAAGGAGTATTCGAAAGTGTATTCGAAAGAATCATCAATACATTGTTTGTAACTTCATTTAGCTGAGTACATAAAACAGTTTTTGATTATTGTTTATTACAAAATTATTTAATTATATGCAATGTTACAACTGGTTTTTACTGTCTTTTAAAGTATTTATTGAAATTTATTGTCAGCGAAGATTTGCTCCAATTTAATAAATTCCTTCAGCAAAGCAATAAATTATTAAGGACAAGCTTTTTGTTTGTTGAATTTCTACGCGGACGATATCGCATCTAAAAGCTAGTAAATAAATAAAAATGTATTTCGCAGCGGGCGTGGAGTCGTTTCCGTGGAAACTACGCATTGCGGACGTGTCGTGCTACACGCTGGGTGCCCGCGGGGTAGGTGGTGGAGGTGGGGTGCGGTCTCAGCTGCGCGGGACGGGTGTGGAGCCGCGTGCTGTACTCGCGCTGCTCACCACCACGGTCACGCTGTCCGTGCTCAGCAAGACGCTAGCGATGCGTGCGCCGCAGCCGCCGCGCCACCACCACCAACACCAACACCAAGAGAAGCACCACGACGAGGTACTCACACCGCACACACTTGCGAACTCGTACTGTCATATTGTTTTTTGACGTGCGTCTTTAAATTTGTATAAAACTGACGATAATAAAATCGGGGGATACAGTTTGGTGTTGCAGCTACATATCTATCATCTATATCCAAAATTTTATAACACCACTCGATATCTAAAGGATCAAACAATTCATCGAGTGAGGACTGTGACTAATCGCGCGAGGTGGCGAAAGGAGCGTCGCCATTTTGAGGCCGTTTCGTTACGTACATGTTTTCCGTGTCCACGGCACAGCCTGTTCCCAATTTTTTGACTTGTGTTGCTATAACCACAGACCAACAGAAAGATAGAGAGAACGCTACATACATTTCAAATAATTTCAAACCGTGTTCCACTTTTTAACACGCATTCACGTTTTCTATATCAGGATAGGATTTTCGAGGACGGAAAAACGGCAGCCAACTATTACAACTTCCAATCACCTCACTAGTTAGCCCATATACCTTATCATATTAGTAATGTAATAAAAAGACATAACAATGAACAACCTACACAGTCATAGTGACTAATTCAATTAATTCATAAATTACACAATTGCTACTCACAAGTTCCTTCAAAATTATCTTTTAATCATTAAAATTACTTGTTTATTTTAATGATTAAAATATAATTTTTTAGAATATATAATTTACACCATAATAAAAGATTACAAAGGACGGACTTACGCCTTTACTCATTATCTCTCAGTCAAGCCTATGGCAAGGTACTTAGATGATACTAAGTAATTTTATTTCTTAACGTAATCTCCAGAGAATAATGAAGGTGATGTCTTACAATTCACTGGAGTTTACTCCTGAAGATAAAAATAAACTTTTAGTAAAAAGTAGAAGCCGATTGCAAAAAACTAAAAAAATAATATTTCACTTATTTTAAGTCAGCGGTGACATGGTATGATGTTTAGAAGTATTTATGGCCGATTACAGCATATGAATATATTTTCTTCTTTTTTCCTTCATTGAAGTCAGTTTGTACTTTTAAGTAAAAATATGATTTTTACCCTTTTGTGTGGACTTAGCACAAGCTAAAATTGAAAACTTCGTCCTCTATATTTCCACGCTTAAAGTTGGATTTTTTCTCTACATTTTATATGGGATAACCCCTGAAATTATACTTTATTTATTAAAAAAGGAAACCATTACGATCGGATCACATAACATTCGAAACACACACAAAATATCTAGCAGTTGAAACTGAACAACCAAAAAGCAAAAAATACTCTGTAAGTTATTTTAGAGTGAGAGTTATGTTAGAGTTATTAAAATCAGTGACGAAGAAGAGTTGCGTCACGATCGTGTCTAATAGAAGTATGTAATCTCCACCTACGTGAAACCACTAAGTGAAAGGAGAGTTTACGTTACGTTATGTTGATGTTGGGAATAGTGAATATTGGAAAATGAGAGACTGAAACGATTACTCAACTACATTCAAAATAGGCGTATTAAAAATAAAAGCTTATTTAACCAACGGCCATAAAGATCATACTGTTAAGTTGTTTAAGAAAATCACGGCAAAAGTGAATAGACTTTTGTTCAGGAAAGTTAGTGCGCTTAACCAATTTCGACTGCGTCAACACTTACCATCAGGATAGTGGCAAGATGGTGTCAAGCACTGAGTTATATAGTTATATAAATATGAATAGATCATTGATACGTTTCTTCTTACTTTTCTAATACTTTACTTTTCGCCATCTACTCACACACGGCATTTGCATTTTAGCGTTGTTACAACTTGGGAAACTAAATGAAATAGAAATCTTTTACGTAGTCCTTTTAATCCTCGATTAAAATTAACATTCAAAATTGAGCAGCTAACGATTTATTCCGATTATAACGACTTACTTTGATTTTTACTTTTCACAGAAATTGAAATACTTCACAAGTGGCGTAGATTTTAGGCCGTCAACATTAAAAGAATTCGTTCGAGGCCCTGCCAAGTAAGAGTCTTTAATTTTATTTGAATTTAATTTTGCCCTTGTTTCTACTAGTCTAATTTATGTTCCTTTTACAGGAATAAAAAACCGACTCCCGAGGTTAGTATTATTTCGAAGTATACATCCAGATTCAGTTTTTTACGACCAGTATGTTCTCGTGCTGGCTGATACTTATCAGTCAAGTGGTTATCCCGTGGCAAGAATAAAGTTTACGTGGCGAGTATGTTATCGGGTCACAGCAATATAATTATGCTATTTAAAATTTATCATTCTATTTTTACTGACTTCCATATATTTTTTATTAATTTATGTTAATTTATCGTTCTATCTATCCATTGAACGGGACGTTTTCTTAGTACAGTCTACTTGAAGAGTCATTAATCTAATGGCAGGGCGCTTACCACGAACTCGAAAGATCGTGAGTTCGAATCCGCTATTCGACTACTCGTTAACCACTTCTAATACAAGCATTTTGAGCTTACCAGTAGTGGTTTAAGGGAATATTAGTAATGTTTAATAGTATTACTAGTATTTTTTAAGTAAAAATCAATATATAGTATAACAGAGTACGTTAAAAGTGACCATATTCGGTTTCCCTAATCTGTGGAAATAGTGTACGTGGTTATTAATTATTTTTATTGTCATGTTATCATGTCATGTAAGATGGCAATTTAAGGTTAGTGGCATTATCGTACAGCCTGTGCATGTTAGTAGTGAAAGGACAAGTGCTTATTTTAGCACAAAGAGACTCGTCTTGGACTCAAAATAATCTTTATACAATAAAATCGAGATAAACTACGATGCAGTATCAGAGTAAAAACTAATTAATTATATTGAAATAAAAAAGTAAGAAACATAATAAGTTGGGTTACGTGAGAGACGACTAGGAAATGCTTGATAGGTTCAAAGATCAGAGTGTCGAAATGGAAACAGACAAGGGGATTATCAGTAGTATTCCGAATAACACCAAAAAATAAAAAAACTGCGATTGCCAACCAACTAGCCAAACGTGGCTACTATGGCAAATATCTTCCCTATAATAATATCTATGAGAAGGCACATGTTCAGCAGTTGTTTTCTGGTTGGCTTTTATGAATGAAAGAATTATGGTAGTGCATGCAATAGTATGGTTGAGTATGGTAATACCGTATGAGGTAACCTATAGAGAGGCTTATGTCCAACAGTGGTCATAATATATAGATAAGCTGCAATGATGATGACGATGATACGTCTGTAGCGGTAACGGCCATTCCAACAATGGGAGTGGTTCATGAGCATCGGGAACCGACTAACAAAGAATAAATACCCCAGCTTATATTTATAGCATAAGCTTTCACTTAACGTAACGAAATGTTCGATCTTTTAGCTATCAAGTGGTGTAATTAAGTTTTGCATGGAGATGATAGATAATATATCTGCAACACCAAACTGTATCCCCCGATTATCTTATCATCAGTTTTCTATTTTTCCTCCCACTATGGAAGCGAATTTAAAGACGTATCTACGTCAATAACAAAGAGGTGAAGGGGAGTCATTATATTTGTTTCATGGGTATTAACGTGTGGTAAAACGAAGCAGACGAAGGCGGCTCCGGAGACCGTGACAGCGACGGGCCCGCTGGTGTCCCTGGGCCTGCACCTGCACGCTGACACGCCGCCAGTATCTCTGCGTCTCGACCACGATCAGGCACGTTGCATCCACTGGTATCGCACCCATTGAAGTACTACGTACCAGAACAGATACCGCGAGCAAAGTCTATGCGATCATGCGTGACGCATGGTCGAAGCCGCAGTACATTTTTATACCAGAGACTAAGTAAATTTAAGTCAGTGGACTCTAAAATGTGTTGCGAACAACCAAGTCTCGGCGTCTCTTCTAGTACGTAGTACATATTACTTCAATGGTTGCACCTTGTCTCGCACACTCCCAAAAAGTTACAATATTCATACTTACATTTTAACTAAGTCGAATTATATGTTTTATAAAATTCAACTTAGTTATAATTAGTTTAATTGAGGTCCACGCGCTCTCACAGAATATCAGTGTAAAATAGCAGCTCAATTCTGCCGTATATCGTATAGTGAGTGTAGAGTACCGGAGACCCTTTTCACTATAGACGAGGCATTCCATCTTAGTCCTCAGGGTACGACAACGCATCTGCTTTTTGATTCTTAATTGAGCATGAATGTGTATAGGCCACGTTGTCAGTCTTGGAGGAGAAGATGAAATGTCTCGTCTCCAGTAAAAGGAGTATCCGGTTCTCTACACTCTCCATACGAGACACTGCAGCATTAATCTGCTATTTTACGCTTGGTAGTCATTGAGAGCGTGTCCCCGGTCGAGCGGTCGGCTACAACCATAATTTTGTATGAATTTTATTAAATAAATAAATGAATAAATAGATATATAGCCGTGGAAGTATCGTTTTTTTTAAATATCGTGTGTTGTGAATGTTCTGATTGCTGGTGGCTGTGTCAGGTGTCCGTTGTGGCGAGCGCGCTGCACTGTATTTCGCACATCGTTGCCTTGCTGCGTCGCCCGCCCTTCACTGCGCACACGCACACACACGCGCATGCCAGCGCACCCTTGCCCAGCGCACAACGCTCTTTCATAAGGTATACATTGTAGGGTTATAATATATCTAATAAAAAATACGGTTGAGCCTGCAGGGCATCCCTGAAACTTCCCGCTTATTTTCGAGCGCAATGCTCTATAATTTAAAATTAAAAATTTTGTACAGCCGACTTCAATATAAGTTATTTAAGAATAACTTAAAAACTATTGGTCTGACCTTGATCAAATTCATATGGGACCACACGAGAAGTACCAGCTTTCAAATAAAAAAAGAATCATCGAAATCGGTTCACCCAGAAAAAAGTTCTGAGGTAACACACATAAAAAAAAACGAAAAAAAAAAACATACAGTCGAATTGAGTACCGGCTCCTTTTTGGAAGTCGGCAGAAAATCTATTTAATTTTTGTTTTTTATTTCTTGAAAACTATTTGAAACGGCTCGACCGATTGACTTGAAAATCTAATCAGATGGAAGTCTCAAAGAACACTTTCGAACGCCGTGACGCCCATCTCGATCGGTTGATTCATTCTAAAGATATCGTACGACAGAATTTTATTACATACGTACACACATACACACACAATGGCCCGCGCGTACGCACGCACGCACGCACGCACGCACGCATGCACGACCGGATGTCAAAACTCCTCCTAGGACCTCAAAACTTGGAGATCTGATGAAATCTCGCATTCTAAACATCAAACCGAAATCTTTAACTGCCTACTTTTGAAAATTATTAATTTTCAAAGTGGGAATTAAAAAATTCGGGGTGTGTCCTCTTTTTTGAATTCTTTCATCTTTTAGCTATCGAGTGGTATAATTATATATTGAATGTAGATTATACAACATGTAAGAAAAACCCTGTGGTTCCCGTTAAGTACGTTATCGGGATCAGTGTACAAACGTATAGAAAAAACTTTTTTTAAAAACTCGAACAATTTTTTTTATTTTATTTAAAAAAATAATTGTATGCAAATTGTCTGTGGTTTTATTACCTCTGCATTGTCTGGGAAGTAAGAGGATTGTCAAAAACCCCGCTTTACTTAGTTTTAGCATCAGCTAGTGTCAGTAAGAGGTAAAAAAAACCACATAAAATATAATTTTTTTATATAAGATTTAAAAAAAATATGGTCGAATTTAAAAAAAAGCTATTTCTATAGGTTTGAATACTGATCCTGATAAGCTACTTAACGGGAACCATAAGGTTTTTGTTACATGTTGTAGATAGAGTATCTCCCGATTATGTTATCATCAGTATTCTGTGTTGCCTCCTACTATGGAAGCAAATTTATAGTACCAGACTACCACGAAATACCCCGTTAATTATACTAAGTAACCATGTTTTGACTATTATTTTTCATTTGGCAGAAATCGATTTTAGCTTAACAAGACAGACCGATTACTTTTTATATAATTTATTAGTTAATGCGTAGTGATTTTTATTGTACTACGATTTGGTGAGGTATATTCGTGACAATAAGTGACAATAAACAGTGTCTTAATAACTTTACGATATAAAGCCCTTTTTAGAAGGATTCTAGACGCAATTTAGCCTTTTAAGTCCTTATTTAATTCAGCAAGAGCCTCGAAAACACTAGTACTGTCTGGGACAGATATGTATGTGATTCCTATTGCAATGTTTAGTGGCTAATTGGTAACTGTCATATTATATAGAGTTTAAAACACATCGCTCTGATAGAACCGGAGTTATTGATATGCCTTTGAAAAGATTCTGGCTTAAAGAATACATTAAATATATTAAGTACCGAATTCCTTATTAGGTGTAGGTAGGTGACTCAGGACTGTGCTTTGTAGCATTGTTTTGGGTTGGCCAATGTTCAGCAGTGGACTTCTAAAGGACTGTGTATGATGATGATGATGGCATATAAGAAGATCAACGTACAGTGGTTTCATAAACAATTTAATAAGCAGCATTTAAAAAGTTATATTACCTATTCCTATCAGGTGGGAGCATGGTTAATGATTAATAATGATCAGGGGATTGGTGTTGATGAATGATAGTATTACTAGTATTTTTTAAGTAAAAATCAATATATAGTATAACAGAGTACGTTAAAAGTGACTGGTTTTTAGACTCTATTCTATCGAGATAATTTCAAGATAACTTACCTTAGTAATAAAAACCAAATCACATCATTGAAGTAATAAAAGTGGCTACATTTATAAGACGTTTGAAATCATTAAATTATTTAATTTAATCATTTAATTTTTAGGCTTTTTTATTTTATTTTATTTTATGGCAATTATAATATTACCACATTTGTAATAGTACCCATCTTAATTAGTTTTTAACCGAATTCAAATAGGAGGTTCTCATTATTCGAGTGTATGTTACGCGATATTTTCGCATATTGTGAACAAATTATGGTGATTCTTTTTTTATTAAATATGTTATAATTCAAGGGTAGACTCTTATAAAAGTTTCACAGAAAATTCAAACCTTAAGGGTAGTAAATAAGACGCCCCGGGCGTCGGGGGCTACGTCGTGGCCCCCGACCACCGTAGGCGCGGGCCTGTGGACGGCGAGCAATGGGTAGCTCGCCGTCCGTCCGTCTAACGACGACAGGCCGTGTCGACGGCGCGTTTTGTTCCACGCGCGCCTCAAAGAGCTGTCAGCAGCGTGAAGGGGCCCGCAAGGGCCGACGCCTGCCGGGGCTGCGGGCTGTTCGAAAGAGATACCGCGGCTCCGGAACGTAAGGGCACTGAAGGAACACGGATGGTTTTTAGTCAGTAAAAGTCTGACACTCCCTTCCGCTCCACCCACAGCGAAAGGCGTCATTAGATGATTTTCCATCCGCAAAAAAAAAAAAAAGGGTAGTAAATAAATAACTTCTTTTTTAGCTATTTGTTAAGTCGGTTTTCTCATTTTGTTAAAATTTATAAGTCTTAATAAATCATTGCAGTCCGTTATTTTATTTTAAATAAAAAACTACTTGTTTGTTCGTCAGATCTGTGTCAGAAATAGAAGAGCAGCAGAGTCCGTCAGAGGAGACAACTAGCGAGAACCGCTCCGACTTAATTCCGATATTTGAAGCTAGTGCTTCCGAAAGTGAGTATGTCAATATTCGTCTAAGTGAGTACGTCTCGCTTTGGGAAACCAATCATCAAATTTTCCTTTATCCACATTACACTGAGCTTTCAATTAGTTAATTTTTGTGTCAGTACCACTATGTTTTTCTCTCTTGCACACATTTTTATTAGCCCCTGCCGAAGCTAATTCAACAACAACAACGTTTCTTTCTTTCTTTTTTTTAAAAAAAAAAAAACGTTACCCCCACACTAGGATTTTCTCCTGTGTCGTGGAGGCAGTTTACAAACATAAATTGCACAAGGACAAACATCCAGACCCGGAACAATTATTTGTAGGCCATACAAATACTTGTTCCGTGCGAGATTCGAACCCGCGGCCCCCAGCGCAACAATTGATTACTAAGCCACTACGCCACGGAGCCGTCAAAGCCGTTGTATAAAATCGGTCCTTTTCATTTCAATAATAATGTTTTAAGATACATTATCGTTACTATAAGATATAAAAAGATCATGTGTTACCCACATGTAGCAAATTACGTTTTTAATATCAGTCTTTGAAAAAAAAATCGCCAGTGCCTGCACTTATATGGAAAGCTATGCTATTGTATTTTTCGGCGATTTCAAAACGGTTACAGTTACAAGCTATTAAAGTCCACAGTTGAACGTTGGCGTCCATGTTGCCTCATAAGGGGGATTTTGCCATAGTTGACATGCTGGATATACCATGCTATCGGAGACCTATACCTGTGTAGATGTTTATGCGCACGTAGACCAGAGCGTGTATTGGAATAGACCTGTGTAGCATTTTTTAAAACCTATACACAGGCAAAAGTTTTGTATAAATAGTAGTTAGTAAAGGCTGAGTGCTAGTAGTGATAACGGTGCTGTGCGCAGGCGTGGTGAAGCGGTTCGTGTGGGTGCAGTGGGTGGTGTCGCGCGCGTCGCTGGCGGCGGGCACGCGGCGCGCGCGGCTCGCCGCCGTCGCGGACGACCTCATCCTCACCGCCGACCTGCAGCCGCACTACGCGCAGCTCAAGCTCAAGCTCGCCGCCGCCTCGCTGCGACACTACCGACGGTCGGTGAGCGGCCCGCATGCCACCCACACTACACACCACACACCACACACCACACACTACACACTACCCACTACACAATCATTTCTTATGTTTAAGCGCACACTATACATTTAAATAAAACTAGTAATTCCGGATTTTATCGCGTATACTTATTCTGTATTCCCGACGTTTCGAGTACTTAACAGCATCAATGGTCGCGGGAAAAAAGCGGCTATATTATGGTTGTTGCACAAATGGTTCGGCTCGACCAGGGTAGAGCTGTAGCTCTCACAATATACCGGCGTAAAATAGCAGCTTAATGCTGCTGTGTTTCGTATGCTGAGTGTAGAGAAACGGACCCTCTTCTTACTGGAAAAGAGGCATTCCATCTTAGTCCTCACGGATCACAACGGATCTGCATTTTAATTCGCAATTGAGGGTAAATGTAAATATCTTCTGGATGTCACCCTTATTCTATTAAAAAATAAAAAACCATAACATTACAACGCCGAAAACCTCAGTCAACCAGTGATGTAAAGTACTCTAAACACCGGGAACACAAAATAAGTTACTATTCGCGATAAAATCCGTAAAAGCTAGCTTTATTTAAATACCCACCACACTTTCTGTCACCGGGGCGGCACCACTTTGGAATAAGGTGAAATATTTGATAGATTTCATAACGGGGAAATTAATTTGTTCTCAAAATGTGAAAGTCAATATTTCTTTCTGTACTATTAGTTATATTTTATAATAATTAAATTAGTAATAAATAAACCAAACCACAGATATTTATGTTGTAGTAGAAAAAATAAAGAAATATTTACAATTGTGCAAAAACTTAAAAAGCCACCTGAGTCATTGTTTTGTATATTAATATAATACTATAAAAAAATGATAAAACATTATTTAAAACTTACTTCTCAATTAAATGACGCTGTGTAACAAGAAACTTAATCTCAGTGTCAAATAACGACATTTGGTGAGCGAAAAGTATTATCTGTCATTGGCTATCGCCACGATCTTGGACCGAAACTGGAACCGAAGCTGAAGCTGATTTTTAGCCTTAGGTTAAACCCTGAGGAATTCAGTTTAAGATTGGCTAAAATTCATAATTTAAAGGATTTTAAAACGTTTAAATTAATGGTGTATATATGCAATCCAGAAGTCCATCGCGCCTCGCTCATTCTTAACAGCACGTTCAATTTCGGCGCTTACTACAAACCGTCGGCTTCGGCGTCAAACTTTAACCCGTTTTGGCTGAAGCCGAGAGTTTTGCCCGAGGTGGTTTTTTTGACCGAAGTTAGCCGAAGCGGAAGCCGAAGCCGAGGTTTCGGTGGGACACTATTAATCTGTTAGGAAAATACTCGTATAAGAAATGTGAAATATAAGTTTATTTTATATAAATTAGATATAAACAAAACTCCTACGCATATTACTAAGAAGTGTGTTACTGTATGTACGGCAGGCGGGGGGAGAATGAGGAGTGGGAGGCGGGTGCGTTGGGAGGGCGCGTGCTGGAGGCGCGTGAGCCGGCCGACGCAAAACAGGACAACCACTTCCTGGCAGTCACCGTCACCCAGGCGCAGTGAGTGATACACTAACACGCACGCACGCGTACACATGCGCGCACACACATAGACGCACGCACGCAAACACGCGCGCACACAAACATGCTCACACGCGCGCCCACAAACAAGCACACACACGCACGAATGCGCGCATTCATACACACTATGTAATATTGAGAACAAAAATTACGAGTGTTTTGTTACATTTCTGAATTTCAAAAACGACACCTGAACTATAAGAGACACCGCACACTGCAGACTATTTATCGGGCGAGAGTTTATTCAGTTTCTTTATCAGTATTGCGATGTATGGAAATGCGCATATTATAACGATTAGTTATCGGCCGATAAATCAGTTTGATGGGCTACACAATTCCCTTGAAACTAAATTGTTGGTTAACTATCGGCCATCTGCTATATCAGTACGGCGCTCTTAGACGCGCGAATACACGCCGATTGTTTAGTCGACTGACTCGGAAGATAACGCTGCTTGTCGAATCATCTATTTTACAGTTGATAGAGAAAGTTGAAATATGATGTAAATTTAAAGAAAAATATGGGGGAAGAAGTAATCTGTCACTGCACATATTTAGGATGCAACTAGCATGACTAACAAAAATGTACGGTTGCACTGTACACGTTTGTCTTAATTGATGGATAAATAATATAAATAAATGTAGATTCATTTTGCGATACATGATCTAAGACGGGTAGAGTGTAAGACTAGTTTGTAGTAGTTTAGTGCATTATGACGCACGTATCTAGTTGTATAATTTTTTGTTTAATTTACTTTTTTGCCAATTAACACAAGTAAAGAAATCTTTCCATGTTTTATTTTCCTCTATTTATGTGTATATGAAATATTTATATATTTTAAATTTAGATTTTTGTTATATTAGCGGAGCATGATCATTGCATACACATTTTCGAATAGATTTATATCACTACGGAAACGGGTTTTTGTGTTTTAATAATTATACATCATCATCATTATCATTACAGCCTTTCATAAGTCCACTGCTGAACATAAGCCTCCCCCAAGGAATGCCACAAAGCACGGTCCTGAGCCACCTGCATCCATCGACTTCCTGCATGTCTTACCAGGTCGTCACTCCATCTCGTGGGGGTCACCCTACACTTCGCCTACCGGTACGAGGCTGCCATTCAAGAACCTTTCTTCCTCATCGGTTATCGGTTCTTCGAGCTATATGGCCGGCCCACTGCCACTTCAGCTTACTAATTCGTTGGGCTATGTCGGTTACCCTGGTTCTACTGCGGATATCCTCCTTCCTAAGTTTATCATGCAGAGAAACTCCGAGCATAGCCTTCTCCATAGCTCGCTGAATGACCTTGAGTTTCCTCATACGGCCACCGGTGAAAGACCACGTCTCAGATCCGTAAGTCATCACTGGTGGTACAATTTCATTTTAAGGTTTTGAGGTATGTCTGACGAGAAGATATGTCGTAGCTTCCCGAACGCTGCCCAGCCGAGTTGAATCCGTCGATTGGCCTCTCGGTCGAAGTTGGACTTACCTAGTCGGACTATTTGTCCCAGGTAAACATACTCGTCAACAACTTCGAGCTTAGTGCTCCCAACAACTACGGGCATTGAAACGGGCTACGGGAAACCGGCTTGTTCGGGAAGCTGGAAGTCGTCAAGTCTGCGTGCGAGACGATTCGTAATGACTCGAAAACAGCACGTAGACGCGGCTCAGAAGGGAAATCGGTCTGTAGTTCTTCAAGAGAGCATTCTCACCCTTCTTTAAGAACAAGACCACTGCACTTCTGCTCCACGCCTCCGATGTAATGCCATCATGGAGGACGGAATTAAAGAGCCTCTGAAGGACTTCCAGTACCGGTTTTCCACCCGCTTTCAGAAGCTCCGCTGTAATTCCATCCTTGCCTGGGGCCTTAATTATACACTTTTTTTTAATTAATATCTTTGGATCTGTTTCTTTGTAATTAATATATTTAATCATATTCAGGATATCCAATTTACCTGCTAGCTGGAAGGAAGAATTACATCCAAAATTATTGCAAGAAAAAGGTGTAAGTATTAATTATGTTATTGTACATATATATGATAAAATGATGACAATCCAGATATCAATTTATTTAAATGTTTAATTACATAGTGTAGAAAATCTTCCAACGCACTACGCACGTAACCAGAAATGAAAAAGGCTGTATCCAGTAGTGGTTGTAGAAGTAGACGTGAAAACTACGTGAGTGTTTGTTGGGTGCAGGTGGGGGACAGTATGTGGGAGGTGTACGCGACGATGGCGCCGCTGGAGGCGGTGCTGCGGCCCGCCGTGCTGCGGCACGCGGCCGCCCTCCTGCGCCTGCTGCGTACGTGCGCGCACTGCCCGCTGCGCGTGCAGCACGCACACGCACCCGCCACGCACGCGTCAGTGAATCCCTTTATATATTACACCCTTATTTATCAGCATAATGTTCACCAGACTGAAATTCGGCCATAGCGTTTGGAATTATTTTTCTAAATTTGAATAAAATAATCCTTTATAATTGAATTATTAGACCGTACCTCATAGTAGTAGATTAGTAGATCCTTATCAATCCGATTAACAATAACAATGCCAAATGTCTTGCTGCTATGTCGCCACTCCACATTGCATTGTACTTACGAGATGCAATGGAGTGAGGGTAAGAAACGCATACCGCAAAGCTATGTCAGTATTTATTGTGACTAAAATACCAGTAAAATATTTCATACATTACAGCTTACGTAAACCATATTTGCCCTCAGCTTACACTGACAAGAGAAATAAATGTCACAATTGCCACGCTTGTAACTGTTTTGTAATATTTTAAGTTACTATCATGAAGACGCTGCTGTTCATCTTCTGTTTCAATTCCCTCTCGCCTTTCAAAACACCCACACTACGATATGGAGTATTCTCTTACCTACACAGCTAACACCCAGCATTCTTAGAAGATTATTGTACATCCGTACAGATAAAGAATGGGATTAAAAATGGCGGCTCTTTGTGCCCGTACCGTCAAAATGGCACAGTACCAACAGCGAAAATCCGCTAATATCAGTTTTTCCTTATAACATTATATTATTCGGTTACTTGGAAATTTTCATGGGAAAATATTTGAAAAGAATTGTATACGCAAGTGGGTACATTAACTTTAAAATAACTAGCGTCCTGCTCTGGCTTCGCCTGGGTGGGATCTATTAATGTGGCGTTATTTAGATTAAGATCATTTTATATTATCTTATCAATATTTCAATTTTATTAAAGTATCTAAATTGTTCGGATAAAATTTAAACTAGATCACTTATGGTATTACTCTCTATATTTAAAATCGGTTTGGCTATTCCGAAGATTAGCTTGGACAAACAAACAAACGAAAACTCTAAAAATGCTTACTACTTGTCTCAATAGTATGTAAATATTTTATACAAAAATATTAACAAACAAAATCTACAATAATTATGAAGATAACTCTCAGAACACGTCATAGTTCACAAATTAGCGAAACCGGACTGATTTTTTTATATAGTATTATATCATTGATTTTATTGACAAGTTAGACTGAAGTTATAGAACGTTCGAAAAACGCATATTGAAACGTATTTTTAGCAGTCTTTACCTGTGGGTGTGAGTATAGATAACGATAGTGTGCGAGCGAGAGGTGAATAGAGGCCACGCCATTTCCAATCCCATTTTTTATCTTCACGGGTAATACTTAACTGAAATCCTACACTAACAACCTACTTCAACAGTAAATTTCAGCTTGTCATTCATACATCTTGTCTTTCAATATTTCAGTTTAGATTCATTCATTCATTCATTACAGTCCTTTACAAATCCACTGCTGAACATAGGGTTCCCCAAGGAATGTCACAAAGCATGGTTCCGAGCCACCTGCATCCATTGACTTACAACATGTCTTACCAGGTCGTCACTCCATCTAGTGGGGGGACGCCCTACACTTTGCCTACCGGTAAGAGGCTGCCACTCGAGAACCTTTCTTCCCAATCGGTTGTCGGTTCTTCGAGCTATATGCCCTATAGCCCCTGCCTGATGTAGCAAATAGTCTGTGCGAGCTGTAGCGGCTGAGTATGGTCGCCGAAGCCGACCAATAAGCCAAAGTTGCGGAGGTGAGCATGGGCACCTACGATTTGCTACGCAAGGGCGAAGGGGCTGCACTTCCCGCAGCGCTGAAGCCGTTGCAGAATTAACTTTGAGTCAATGTTCCTGTGAAATAAAGTAATTTTTGAGTATCAATGTCTCTGACAGTGGGCGAGATATCGAAAAATTTTATTCTTACTTGTCGTCGTATTTCTTCGAGATCTATGCGAATCCAAACCCAAATATTTGCAATTCAAATCGTTGCGTCGTAAGAACCGTAGTCGTGGCGCCATGAAGACTATATCGTCGGCAAATCGAAGGTGAGTGATGTACTCGCCGTTGACGTTAAAACCGTACCCTTTCCAGTCCAGTAGCTTGATGACGTCTTCCAATGCAGCGGTGAAAAGTTTCGGGGGATATAATGTTACCCTGTCTTACACCTCTCTGCAATTGGATAAGTTTCGTACTCTGGTTCTGTATTCGGATAGCCATCGTAGCCCTACTGTACAAACACTTCAGCACTTCGATATACCGACTTGGCACTGCTGAAGAGCCTGCAGTACCACCCATGATGCAAATTTTTAAGACTGTGTTAGCATAACCACTGTTAGATACTGCAATATTTTGGTTTTCTTTTTATTTGTTTATTTTTAAAAACCGTTAAAACACTAGAATTTTCTCCTGTATCGTGGAGGCAGTTTATAAACACAAATTGCACAAGGACAAACATCCAAACCCAGAACAATTATTTGTAGGCCATACAAATACTTGTTCCGTGCGGGATTTGAATCCGAGTTCCCCAGCACAGCAACTCATTGTTAAGCCAGCCACTGCGCCACGGAGCCGTTTATATGGTTATGAAACATCAATAATTCTAGTTTTTCTCAACAAGGTTTTTTTGTTAACTGTGTGTCATTAAGATTAGTATGATAGCGCTGACATATCCGTTCGGGATAAAAGTCCCTAGATAAATAAAGAGAAAATAAAACTCCAAATAACGAAATAAAATAAAATCTTAAAGACATTTTGCAGGCTCAGCACATGGCAACTGCCGCTCGTATACATATCAGCGGGGGGGCTGCGGCTGCTCGTGACGGGCGACGAGGAAGAGGACAGCGCGGAGGACGACACCTTCATGCTTGTCGTAAGTATCGCTATGCAAATGATACATCTGAACAATACGACAACTTTGTTTTATCCTAAGTTTGACTTGACGTAAACAAGTGAGTAAGGAAACGTATTAAAATTAAAATCACCTTTACCTGTGGTGTATGTTGTTTGTTACTGGTATTTATATACCTAAAATCAGCTCAGTCCACTGCTGAACTTGAATGTCTTCAGTTTTATGAAGGATATACCCTAATCAGCACCCTACGCTATCTTTGACTTTCATGCTATATTTGACTTGGTTGAAATCGGGTTTTATTTACTACTAGCTGTTCCCCGCGACTTCGTTCGCGTGTTAGGGTTTTTATGTTTCTGCGCGGAACCCTGATTCCTTTTCTAAAATAAAAGTAGCCTATGTTACTCCTTATGAAATCAGCTATCTGCCAGTGAAAGTCCCGTCAAAATCGGTCCAGCCGTTTCGGAGATTACCCGGAACAAACAGACAGACAGACAGACAGACAAAAATTTTAAAAATTGTATTTTAGTTATAGGTATCGTATTTACTTTCATATGCATTTAGTAAAAAACTGTAATTTTGACATTACAAACAGACACTTCAATTTTATTTATTTGTAAAGATATACCGTTTCAATCATACACACAAGTATTTGTCATAACAATCTAATATTATTATAATTACAAATATAGAGTTCATTTATTAATGTTACAGATCGGTAAAGTAACCGTCAATCCGCACCCGGAGAACCCAATCTGCAGGTAATTTGTACACTGTGTTACTACATATTTGTTGCTTGCAACGACTCGTATTAAGATCAAGAAGATGTCTGTGATTTGTGCACTAAACGTCTGTTGATCTGTTATACGGCACGGCGAAAAGCACGGGGATGGTGACAAAGACGTTTACCGATGTTTAAATAGCATTAGTATAAAATAATTTAAAAGTGCAGAATGCTTGAACTGTCTGCATTATTTGCTGTCTTTAAACTAGCCAATATATGACAAAAAACTATTGGTAAATCCAATTGGGCATGTCTTATGTACATTAAAAAAGTACGTATAACATGATTATACGGATTTTTTTACATATAATACACACAAATTTTCACTAATAACCTTATTATACTTCCAATTTTCCGATAATTTTATGTCAAACTTAAATTTAAAAAAAGTTTGGAAAATCCAAAAGTACACGACTCAATGCTCATATGATAATCATATCATTATTCAGGTCACTCCATAAAGTCTTTTCATACTTTATTAAATTCTCATACTCATATTAAATTTTCATACTTTAGTAAATTCATAGCCTTTATTTTAAGTGAATCATTTTTTCGTGGGCATAGTTTATTTAACCGAATTCATCATCTGAAAACTAATATTTGTATCTGTGGTTTCTTGTATTTGATTGTAAGCAATATATGTTGTCTATGTAAAATGTTAATTTTTGACTTGATTATTACTTTTATTATGTTTAATGACAAAGGAAATAAATTTTGCAGGCTACACTATGAAGTTATTTTTATAAAATAAAATAAACTTGTGTCTGAAGTCGAGTCTTTGCTGAACAAAGTCTCGGATTGGGGGCGACTAAATCTAGTCCAGTTCAATCCTCAGAAGACACAAGTTTGCGCGTTTACCGCTAAAAAGAACCCCTTTGCCGTATCCCCTCAGTTTCAAGGCATTCCCCTGGTTGCCTCAGCTAGTATCGGAATCCTCGGCGTCGACATATAGAGTGACGTGCAGTTTCGTGGTCACTTGGAAGAGAAGGCCAGCTTGGCCTCTAAAAAGCTTGGCGTGCTCAGCAGAGCGGGACAGTATTTCATGCCGACACAACGCCTGCAACATTACAAGGCGCAGGTTCGGCCTCACATGGAATACTGTTTCCATCTCTGAGCTGGGCTCCCAAGTGCCAGCTCCTTCCACTTGACCGCATCCAGCGCAGAGCGCCTCGAATCGTCGACGACCGAGTCCTTTCCGATCGGCTCGATTCATTGGCACTGTGAAGAGATGTTGCATCTCTTTACATTTTCTTTCGCATTTACCACGGGGAGTGCTCTGAGTAATTGTTCGGATTAATCCCAACCGCCAAATTTCACGAACGCACATCGCGGCAGAACTCCCGATACCATCCACACAATCTGGATGATTGGCGGTCCACCACTGTGCGATTTAGAAGATGTTTTCTTCCTCGCACAACTTCCTTGTGGAATAGTTTACCACCAGCGATTATTCCGGACCGATACGACTTAGGGACTTTCAAGAAAAGAGCCTACTCCTTTTTAATAGGCCGGCAATGCATCTGCAATTCCCCTGGTGTTGCGGTTCTTCACGGGCGGCGGTAGTCACTTACTATCAGGTGAGCCGCACGTTCGTTTGTCCCATCTCCTATAAAAAAAAATTCGTGTTTATAATGGCCTTATATATAATCAAGAATGTAAAAATGATACCTGAAAATAGTTTTCTATTTATTTATTTAAACTTCTATGTCAAAATGTACATAGGCGGAGTTAACGCCATAAGGCGTTCTCTACTTGTCAACCTTTTCAAGTATTCACACTATTATATTATTAAAGCACATGTGTGTGTGTGTGTGCGTGTGCGCAGGCGAGCGGTGCGGTGGGGTGCGGAGGGTGCGGGGGGCGCGGCGCCGGCGGGCCGCCAGTACGCAGCGCACGCGCGCGCGCTCGCCCTGCGCACCGCGCGCTTCCACCAGCTCGTGCGCCAGGAGGTCTGTGCCGCGCACCACTACCAGTGCCTCCCCATTTGTGTTTCATCTAAATTGAAAGGCAAAAGTGAACCGTGTAATATCGTCATACACTTCATTGCAATGCTTCACTCGTGTGTATATATATTTATATATTTTATTTATATTATATTTATATCAACCTTTTTATATATTTTGCTCTGACTGTAAGCATACGTCCGTTCCAATTATATCTTCCACGACTGAAAAAAAATGTTTAACCACTTAAAATATTATGTTTATATAGAAAAACGATATTTTACGAAAAACAGTGTAGGTAGACATCGTTTACGTGCGTCTGCGTATAGATTTGTATAAAATAATATTAGTACTTAGTATTTGATTATTATTATAAATAATACTAACCCTCGTCTCAAACACTCCCAATCGGAATTCAATTCTAGAAGTGTAAACAAACATTAATTCATAACTTAATCTGGTTGATAATCAACGAGTCATGGTAGCTTAGAGGACAAGCATTAAACTTAAACAATTGTAATACGGGAGTAAACAATGTTCAATTCTTAGCAGAAATTATAAACTATGATCGAAGCTGCTGATTTATCTCGTACTTGACAGTAAAGAAAAACATTGTCACGAAACCTTAATATCCGAGAAATTAAAAAAATATTCAAAAACGCTTCAAATCCGTTAACACACATTGGGTCAGCGCAACGGTTTCATCTTTGCCTTATAAACCTCAAAAATAAGCTGATAATTTATTTATTAAATACTCTTTGAGCATTAAAGTTGGTATAACATCATAATATTAAGCATCATATCTAGAATAACTTCAAAATTAAATATATTTTAAAAATAGATTTTATAGTTTGAAATAAAGAAAAAAGCTTTTATTTTACTTTAGATTAGCGAATCGGAGATCATGAAAGGCACGGGAGGTGAAAACCCGGCACTAAAATGGAGCCAACCAACGATATCACCCGTCATTACGCCGATTTTACACACGTAAGAATTTAATATTACTTTTCAATTTCATTAAATTCGTGTATAATTATTTACATAGCCCAGCGGATCAGTAGGTTGAAGTGGTTAGTCATATAGTTCAAAGAAGTAATTACCGAAGGATTTAAAAACCTTATTACGTGCGCAGCTACTCCTATATTATAGTTTAAGCATAAATGGTTCGGCACGATAGGGGAAGGATTACGCTCGCGCAGAGTACCAGCCTAAAGTACCAGCTTAATGCTGCTTCGTATGGTAATTTGTCTATAATATGGTTAATTTCGTATGGTAAATATAGATAACTAGAGACACTTTTTACTGATAACAAGGCATTCTATCATTTCGTTTATTAATCGAGGATAGGTGTGGGTGCTATCGGCTACAGCATCCACTTACCATCAGCTGGATTTATAAAAACGAGACTTGTGACAGACTGTAATGATAATAGAAGATAATTATTTAGTTGTTAATTTTGATTTTGTTTATTATTAAATTAAAATGTTTTAATTCTGTAATAAATTAAATTTATTACTCTTTTATTCTTTTCAAGTATAATTATTAAAATGAGGGGATAAATTCATAAACGATAAAATTATAAAATAATTTAATTCAGATCCATATGATAAATAACCTAGCTTGACAAGCATCTTTTACTCCAAAATATTTATATTGTTTATGTAAACGTGTTAAGCAACCGTTTGGTTGTAACTTATCGCAGTCTATTTCTGTTGATGATACTTGCCGTTTTATTCCGGCAAACGTATCTTAGCTGATTAAGTTTATCATCCTTAAATCCTCAAATGATGTTACTGTTATTTCCCACTCTTATTCATCATATCCTGGGCTGTATTCTGTACTAACCCATGCGTGGGTAGTTGTGTATTATGAATGGTGTTAAGTAATGTGTTATTATTATGAATAAAGTTGAAACTCACGCAACTGAGATAAAAAAAATTTTAACGATTATCAGTGGAGCACGGTGTGCCACATAAGTAACTTAATGTACTCAACTTAATATATTTATGTCTTGATCCGGATGACCACCATGCTGCAATAAGCAGTGTGTACGAAGGTTGTATGGCGTTGTTCTGTGATTGTGGTACAGCGTGGAGGTGCAGTGCGTGGTGGCCCCGGCGCTGGCGCTGGCCTGCGGGCCGGCGCTGGAGCTGGACGTGCCCGCCGACTGCGCGCTCGAGCTCAGCCTGCGCCAACTTGCGCTGTTCGCGCGTCTCGCCGCCCTCTACGCGCACCGGTACGTGCACTCACATGTACGCACACGCACGCACGCACATTGCTTCCGCCCACACAACGCTACGCACTTCACACATCTTCATCAGCCTATAGAATTCCACTGCTCGACATCGATGTACTTCGGAGGATTTGCTTTAATCGCCACTCTTAACAGACGAGTTGACGTTAGACATCTGACGTACAACACAAGTAATAATAATAACCATCTGTATGTGTAGTATCAAGTAAACTATACAAATAAATAAAATGACGTGTCTGTTTGTTATGTCAAAATAACAGCTTTTTTAGTAAAGACTTTGTAGAATATCATTAAATGAATCGTTACCATAAGATGACATCTTCGGCAATTAACTCATAGAGAAAAGACACATGATTACAACTATTGCGGACGATTCTTGACGAACGCGTTGTTTTTATCATGCCTAAGTGATTATCACCAACAATGGGCGGTTTTTCATTTAGTGGCATGGCTCCGTGGCTTCGTTTTTCCACTGCACCGGTGCCGGTGCCGATGCCGGTCAACGCTCTGTTTTTGGGCAGTACTAACACAGACTTCAGTTCTACAACACGTAAAATTGTACTCGTTAAATTTTCGTATTTGTTTGTTATATCTCTTATATATAAGACGAAAATGTAATCAACGCAGTCAAATTCTGAATTCATACAATCTTAAAAATAAAATACTTAGAAGGAACACATTATTATACCCTATTTTAACAAGTGGGATGCGGGAACTAGATATATAAGAACCTCCGAAGGAGGCGGAGTTATAGCCGAAATAAGAATTTAATTTTTTTTGGTTTTTGGCCTATTGACCCCCATGACCCCCATGACATCCTCTACATAATAGGTTATTCAAACTGACTAGGCCTAAAGTTCGAGCCACCCCCCAACTCATTTCTAGTCTTTACTTGCAAAAAGTTAGAAATGGTTACAAAAAAATATTTCAACTACTTGCGCATGAACGAGGAGGCATTCCATCATTTCACAATTTCAACGCATATCTTCTACTTCGGCCCGCGCACACACACACACACGCACACTGCTGCAATACGTACACAATACACATGCAGTTTTGCCGGCCGGCACCGAGTGGGAAGTTTGTTGTCCCAGCAACGGCGACGACACCGGTGGTAGCCATCGCCGTGCCGTCGCCGGCGCCGGTAAGTGGTATAACATGCTATATATTTCATACATTTTATACATTTTTGCTTCCCGTGAACGGGGAAGACCACGCAATAAGATAATTAAAAAATATCTAAAATTAAAATTTACTTACGAAGTGTTGTACATAGATACACAATATTTTAACGGCAGAACAGAAAAAAGGCCATCTATTATTCTACACTTTTAAATTTTTTAGACCAATGGACTTTAAACCCTAAGTTCATTGACTAATACTAAGATTTATAATAATTTACCAAAATTTTTATTTATAATTTAAGTCAGGCAATTATTTACTATTTTCATCTTCAATTCAGGAAAAATTGTAATAGTATAAATTTTTATGTTTTTTTAAAATATTTTATTTAACACTATACTCACTTTTAAATTTTAATAAAAGTAAAATATGAACATTGTTGACACCCACGCATGCCTGGCTACACGTAGTTTATTCAAACGCTATTTAAAGTTTTTTGTGTGGTTTTGTGTGTAACTCCAAATTTGTGTAAGTCAGGTTATTACTGTATATTAATAATTATGCATTGTTTGATATGAATTCAGGTGCATAAACAACGTTTATTATTTTTCAGCAGGAGGGATAGCGAACACTCTCTGCTAGAAAAAGAAGAACAATGTCCGTACGCGTCGTTAATCACGACCGAGCAGGAAGACGAGGTCCCGACGCCGGTTATCGACGCTACGAGCAAAGCCGAAGGTAATATTTATTTATCGCCTAGATTTGTTTAAATAAACTGAATGTTTTTAGGACATGATCATTAAATGTATTTTTAGTAAGAGTTTTGGTTTGGATGCTTGTCCTTTAAGCCTTGTCTTCGTTTATCAACTTGAGCCAGCAGACAGATATCTTATATTGAGATTACATCACCATCGGAGCACTTGTTTCACCGTTTGCACTAATAGTTCGCATAAGCGTAGACATTTAATAAACAAAATCGCACCACTTTTACATTTCAAACTCTACTTCATACCATTACTTAAACAATAATACAGGAGCAACAATCCGCCGCCGGTCAAATTCCCGCCAAAAACTCCACCGTACACGGAACACGTAACAGTGTGCTCCGGCAACAGAGTGCGCATACAACGTATTCCTTGCGACACGAACTATAACTCTTTCCGACGATCTCTTTTACTGCGCTTGTCTCTGTGAATCGATTGTTTATACCAAGAATAGATATAGTTCGTGTCGCAAGAAACACGTTTCAAGCGCACTCTGTCGCCGGACCACGGTCTCCCGCAAAAAGTCCTCATTCAATGTAGACTACATAGCTGCACAGAGTATAAACTCATAGATCAATTTAGCGCTTGAAACGCCTACAAAATGTTGTGCTTTTTTATTTTAATATGCGTTTTGAAGGATATAATTAAGTAGTAGTATAATTTTTTTAGTTTACAATTATTTATTCCTATGAAGGGAACTTATAATATTGCATAAATAAGTAGTTTCTTCTATTATTCATAGGTTTGTAACAGTGCACTGCTGTACCTAGGGGTTTCTTCCGCTGTAATCGCCGCGCTTGGCAAATTAATCGACCGTAATTTTACATCCGACATACGAGATAGTATCGTACATTGGCGGTGTAGATATATCCACTACATTATATTGTCCCATTGGTGTCGAAAGAAGCGACAAAGGGAAACAAACCAAGGGAAGGACCGCAGCGTCTTCCTAATAACAGATAAAAAATAAACAATCTCAGTTGCCAACCAGCCTCCCAAATGTGGCAGTAATGACAAATATCCTTGCTATGAGCCAATCTATAGAGGGAGCCTAAGTACAGCATTTGACTTTTGTTAGGCTGTAGGGGTACGAGATGGTGATGCAGCGAAATACCGCGCCACGAGGCCTTTTAACCATTTTAAATGTTCCTTATGACACCTGCGTTGCGAAAACCACATTAAAAAGATAATCGTTATATATACGAAATAAATATAATTATTCAGCACTGTACGAGCAATGGTAACAATCTCAGCTAAAGCAGCCAGCAGATGGCGCTGATTTTCAGCTGGTGCCAAAAGTTTCGCAAGACTAGGTGTGGAGATTTTCTTAAGATACTTAATCATCATCATTACAGCCTTTCATAAGTCCACTGCTGAACATAGGCCTCCCCCAAGGAATCCCACAAAGCACGGTCCTGAGCCACCTGTATCCATCGACTTCCTGCATGTCTTACCAGGTCGTCACTCCATCGAGAGGGGCGTCGCCCTACACTTCGCCTACCGGTACGAGGCTGCCACTCGAGAACCTTTCTTGCCCATCGGTTGTCGGTTCTTCGAGCTATATGGCCGGCCCACCGCCACCTCAGCTTACTAATCCGTTGGGCTATGTCAGTTACTCTGGTTCTACTGCGGATATCCTCATTTCTAAGTTTATCACGCAGAGAAACTTCGAGCATAGCCCTCTCCATAGCTCACTGAGTGACATTGAGCTTCCTCATACGGCCAGCAGTGAAGGACCACGTCTCAGATCCGTGAGTCATCACTGATTGTACAATTTCGTTTTCAGGTTTTGAGGTATGTCTAACGAGAAGATGTGTCATAGTTTCCCGAACGCTGCCCAGCCGAGTTGAATCCGTCGATTCACCTCTCGGTCGAAGTTGGACTTACCTAGTCGACTATTTGTCCCAGGTAAACATACTCGTCAATAACTTCGAGCTTAGTGCTCCCAACAACTACCGGCATAGGTGTGACATGGACGTTAAACATGATTTTGTTTTGTCCATGTTCATCTTAAGACCTATCCGTTGGGAGACACTTGAGGTCATCGAGCATAGTGCTTAGGTCCTCCAGCGATTCTGCCATAAGGACTATATCGTCGGCAAATCGAAGGTGAGTGATGGACTCGCCATTGATGTTAATACCGCATGCTTTCCAGTCCAGTAGCTTGAAAACGTCTTCCAGTGCAGCGGGAAGAGTTTCGGGGATATAACGTCACCCTGTCTTACACCTCTCTGCAGTTGGATAGGTTTCGTACTCTGGTTCAGTACTCGGATAGCCATCGTAGCCCTACTGTACAAGCACTTCAACACTTCGATATACCGACAGTCAACTTGGCACCGTTGAAGGGACTGCAGCATCGCCCAAATTTCGACGGAATCAAAGGCTTTCTCATAGTCCACATACGCCAGACATAGTGGCAAATTGTACTCTTCGGACTTCTGTACAATTTGCCGAAGGGTATGTATGTGGTCTATGGTGCTAAAGCCCTTTCGGAAACCGACTTGTTCGGGAGGCTGGAAGTCGTCAAGTCTGCGTGCGAGACGATTCGTAATGACTCTCGAAAAAGCACGTAGACGCGGCTCAGAAGGGAAATCGGTCTGTAGTTCTTCAAGAGAGCGTTGTCGCCTTTCTTGAAGAACAAGACCACCGCACTTCTGCTCCACGCCTCCGGTGTAATGCCACCATGGAGAACGGAATTAAAGAGCTTCTGAAGGACTTCAAGTACCGGTTTTCCACCCGCTTTCAAAAGCTCCGCTGTAATTCCATCCTCACCTGGAGCCCTGCCGTTTTTGATGTGCTGGAGAGTCATTCTAATCTCGCTCAGACTGACGTCCGGGATATCTTCGGAATAGTGTCGGATAAGGCTCGCTCTTGGATCGTTACTCACACTTGCGTGTGGCTCCAGCGATGACGTCTACAGCTGCCCATAGAACCTCTCAATCTGACTCAAAATCTCGGGTGTCCCGGAAACGATGCTGCCACACTCGGTCTTTAGCTTTGACAGTTGGCTCTTTCTGGCAGACAGATCTCTGGCGAAGACTTTAGAGCCTTGGTTCCGCTCGATTCTTCTTCAATACAAGCTGTATTGAAGTTGCGTATGTCCCGCCGCATGCATTTGGAGATCTGTATGTTCGGTTGCCTGAATGCTGTCAAATCTGTTGAAGACTGCAGCTTCATCTCCCGTCTAACAGCCATGAGATTAAGAGTGTGATCGGAGAGTTTTTGTGTTCTTCTGTGGCGGGTCTTGCAGAACTTAGCTCCGACCGCATGAACAGTTTCCACGAGCTTGTCATTCATCATGGTCCACTTCATTGCAGTTTTCTAGGCACTGAAAACGGTTTTGTAACGGTATTGTGTTCGAGCTGAAAGGTTTCGGGACTTTGGATTAGAGCACGAGGGGGACGGAGCGTTGACTTCATTAGACGTGATCTCTCCAACTTAACGCTTAGGTTCAGTGTGCCTCTAACCATACGGTGATCGCTACCAGTTTTCAGCCTCGCGATCACGGAGATATCACTGAACAGTTGTCGTCTGGTCGTCATAATGAAGTCAATCTCATTTTTTGTCGAACCGTCGGGGCTCGACCAGGTCCACTTCCTGTGGGATAAAGAGTCTCTCTTTCTCCATGAAGTCGGCCAGCTGCTGGCCGCTTGGGTTCCGTTGCCCTATTCCAAATTTTCCTATTATCAGCTCACCGTTCTCTCTTGTGCCTAGTTTTGCATTGAAGTCTCCCATTAACAGTGGTAGAGCCAGGCGGCAGCTTTTGCTGTCGCACGGATGGGCCGGCTCGAACCGGGGTGGTACCACGACCTCACAGAATACCAGCGTGAAGTAGAGGCTTACCTCTGCGTTTCGCTTGGTGAGTGCAGGTGGCCGGAGGCCCTTTTTACTGGAAATGAGGCATTTCATCCTAGTCCTCACGGGTGACAACGCATCTATATTTTGATTCGCAAACGAGGATAAATGTAGATGTCTATGGGCCACAGCAACCACTTACCATCAGGTGGACTGTGTGCTCGTTTGTCACCCTATCCTATAAAAAAAAAAAAAAAAAATTAACACCGTATAGTGGGTTTTGGAGGAATGCATGGCTTTAGAGATATCCTCATACATTTCCTCCACCTCCTCGTCGGAATGTGCCGAGGTTGGTGCGTAAACCTGTATGACCTTCAGCGAATACCGTTTGGTGATTCTGAGTATGAGGTACGCAACCCTCGTCGACCCACTCTCAATCTTTACAACGTTGTTAACGAGAGACTTGTGGACGATAAATCTGACACCTCCTTGAGACAGATGGTCCCCTCTCTTTGGACCTCAGATAATCCTCTAATATGCCAGTGAAATTTGTATATCTCTTCTTCCAGCTCAACAATCTTCTCGTCAGTCCCGCCGTTACCATAGCCGCCACTGTAGCCAGGAATAGTGGGGCCGCCGGGCACTGGGGGCCGTCTCTTTGTTACTTTCATCATGGGGGGGGGGGAGTTCTTACGACACCCACGGGAAGATATGGGGTAGTGAATATTCTTAACCGCCACTACACGGTACACTTACTCACTAACTTATTGAATTAAAATTAATACAGTAATTTACATAAAGTGCTATAGATTATAAGTAGTTCCACAAAATGTATGTATCGGTCATTGAAGTAATATGTACTACGTACTAGAACAGACACTGCGAACAGACATGTTGCGGCAGTGCGGTGGGCGTGGTCGGAGGTACAGATACAAAGTACCTTTTTATAGCTCAGAATAACTTTGAGCCCGGGGTGCTCTAATGCGTGTTGCAAACAACTAAGGCTACGGTTACTAAGGGTGCGAGTTCTGACGAAAACGTGTCCTGACGAGTTGTGACGAATTCCTCCGAATAAACAATTGTCTGTTTTCAATGAGTGTGTTCCATGAAGCAAATACAAAGAGGAGACGGCATAAGCAACTGTGCACTGTGATTCTAAGTAGGTCCTGACGTCATCATAGTGGTCGTGGTTTTAGTTAGTATACTGTCAGCATTCGTCCTGTGCGCTTATGTGTTAAAAATTGCAAATCGGTGTATTTTCGTAGTATCAAAAAGAAAAGGATGAAGTGTTTATGTTCTATCGGGTAAAAACTACTCAAATAGACGCTCTGATGCTATGGATGACATCACATTTCATTTGTAAGTAATTTTACACCTAATTTATTAAAATAGTTCTAGAAAAATCTCTGCGTCGGCTTTCAAATATAATTAAATTCCGCCGCGGCTTCGCTTGCGTGTTATTAGGAGTTTTAATTTTTTTGCGCGGAATCCTAATTGTTTTTCTAAAATAAAAGTAACCTAAGTTACTCCTTGTTACATCAGCTATCTGCCAGTGAAAATCCCATCAAAATCGGTCCAGCCGTTTTGTAGATTAGCCGGAACAAACAGACAGAAAGACAGACAAAAACTTTAAAATTGTATGTTTTGTAATAAGTACCGCATATACTTTCATATGCATTTAGTAAAAAGCTGTAAATTTGATATTACAAACAGACACTTCAATTTTATTTATTTGTATAGATATTCGACCCTAGATGGCAACACTTTGTGTCATGTGAACTAAAAATATAAAGGTACTGTTACGTTTTAATTCAGTTGAAGTAAAACAACAAATAGGAGTAAAGAATAATAAGAATTTATTTATACACTCGGGGTCGGAGGTTGGTTTCTATTATTGATTTTGATCTAATTGCCCTCACAATGATACTCTCCTGCGCCCTGTTTAATCTGCCTCTGTTCAGTAGGTAGATACTGCCGTGCATCCAATATTAAATCTTGACAGCTGCCGTTCAGTGAGCTCAGCTGTCTCCCGTCCCTTGTTCACAAAACCAGTCCGGAGGGAGTTCCTGAAGATGTATGCGTTCTAAGCATTAGTACGAGTATATAATAGAAATATTTGTATACCGCTAGTAACAACAGTTGTGCAACTATGCAGAGCAGAGCTAATATGAAGCTTTACAAAAAATACAGGTAAAAGCTATAATACTATATAACTATATAATACATATTACAGTTAAAGAAAATAATGCTAACGAAATGCAAGGAGTAAGCGTCTATTTCTACATACCCTTAAAAGATAAAAAAAATAATTTGCACAACTTACCCAGTACGGGAATCACCTTAAAAACGGTTAAGATTTATATTTTTACAGTAAAATATTTAGAAGAAGTGACTATAAGTACACAAGGCTGTGTTAAAGATCTGAGGATAAAATAAAACAACGACGACGACGTGAGGCGTCGGTGTCGCTCGCAGCTATGACCTCTGGCTATGACGTTCTCATGCCCGGTTCTCGATTCCTGCTTAGCACTGTGCTTGTCTCCTACCCCTCGGCCTTCGCCCGCGTATACACCGATCCGACAAAACATGAAAACGACGGTGCACCAATATTTTGTGTGATATTGTAATTATTTAGTGATAATTTTTTTATAATTAACAAAATATAAAAATTTTACTCGTTACAGTACGTATTATATAATGTTATTATATAATTACACACGAAGGTGCTGAAATTTGTTTTGCATTCAAACATAAAGAAATTTTAATCGCCAAAATATTACTTTTATAGTTTATAATCATTTTGTGAACAGGCCGCCATCTATCATCAAGATAGCTAAACTACATTGCAACATCGATATGGAACGATTCGAGTAGCTTTACTATTTATCGGTAGATGTAGATAGTGTAAAGTGGGCTGGGCTTAACACCCCCGCAAATTGTCACGCGTTGTTACATAGTGAAATCTAATGCAACACCTCCTCTTTGTATTTGCTTCATGGTGTGTTTACACTGGCAGCGACGAACACTTTGGGAACATTCACGGCGTCGTCAGAACCACTTGAGTGTTCAAACAAGTTCGTGCTCCCTGCATCTGTTTTGGGTGTTTTCGTACGTTGAATTTTAAGTGATAGAGATATAGATATAAGAAATAAATTGATAAGACTTTTATACGAGAACATGTGTTTGTGGGATATGAGAGACAAAAATCAAAATAAATAGTCTTTACTACAAAATATCTGGCGGACATGCTCAATTTTTCCACCGTTTAACAATGATAACTTCATTAGCGGCCTTTCAAGAAAATAAAATTTATCATGTTCGTCCATCGTTGCTGGGCGGCAGAAACATACTGTGACCGCCTAGTTCTGACGAGAATTTCGGACCTACTCCTCGGAACACATTTTCGTCCAAATTGGCATGCACAGCAACCATAGCCTAAGGCTCGGCGTTTCTTTTAGTACACAGTACATATTACTTCACTGGCGTCGGTTTAGCGAGGTTGGTATTGTGTGTGCGCAGGCGCAAGTCGCGAAGCTGGCCGTAGTGTGGCAGACTCTGGCGTAGACTCGAGCGCTTCGCACTCCGCCGCTAGGCTGCCGGAAGACCCTGCCCCCAAGAAGAACGTCTCCATAGCGTCCGTGGACCATGTGTCAGTTCACCCTTTTTAATTTCTCCTCTCTTCTTTCTCTTAATTCACTTATTCAATTTATAATATAAAGTGAATAAAGAAGAGGTATATTACTTATCATTATGTTTTATGTGTGAACAACAAATGATGTACTTTTAATATAACAAAGAGAATGAATTCCTGTTAATGTTGTAAGTTTTCACTCGCTTTAAAATTATTTTACCGTATTATATTTTTCATCAATTGCTTTCTTATAGTTACTATTTAATGTAGTGTTCGCCGTAAAATAATTTTTGATCTATCGTGTCAACATAAAATCAGATCAGAAAAAATTGTGGATAATGTAGAGTGCAGATCACAGACGATCTCTACCACTGTTGATATAGCTAAAAATGTTGCCTTGTTGTTCTTGCCTACAGCAAAGCCCGAAATAAATTAGCCAGTATTTGTTTTTTTATTTTATAGTAACTTCAATTTCTAATACGAGAGTAAATCACCATCTAGGAAAATATCACCACTTACCATACACTGGAAATAGTGTTTTAATACAGGTTCTATTTACTAAATTAAAATGAGTAATATGTATTATAATGAGAAATATGAGTAGTGATGTATTGTGTTCGAGATTGTGCCGTGATTGGTGGTGAATGTGATGTGGGCAGGAATCTGTGGGAGCACGTGGAGGTGTTCGTGACAATGGGCCTGGTGGAGGCGACGCTGTACGTGGCGGACGAGGACGCGGACGAGCTGGCGCCGCTTCGCTACCCCGCGCCCCCTGACCACGCAGACCCAACCCCCACAGACACCCCTGCCACACCCACAACACCAGCCACACCCGGCTCCGCGCATCACCAACACGACCAGAACGCGCACGTATGTCATCATGTAGCTGTAATACAACTCCATACCGTGTAGTGGCGGTGCATATCCTCTACCCCACATCATCCCCTGGGTGTCTTAATAGGCGCAGTAGCGCCTTCCTAATAACGATTAAATATAACATAAAACTGCGATTGCCACGCGTAGCAACTATGGCAAAAATTCGCCCTTAATAAGATAATCTATGTGACAGCATACTTTGCAGACCTATGTTCAGTAAGCATACTTTAATAGGCTGTTACGGTAACCGTTACAACTCTATACGTTCGCTTGAACACAAACTGTGATCCCACACATCAAAGACCAACTTTCTAAGTTCACAAAAACTGTATAAGCCGAGCTACAACCGATAATGTTTGTTATAACGATAATCCTATTAAGCTTATGTCATATCTGAACATCACTGAGGCTGCCTGCGAAATACTATTACTATACGATCACAGTTTGCGTCTCCTATAGCTTCTTTTAAGGTTAAATTAGTTTGCAGCTATTTAGTTTGAGATAGTTTTAAGATGATAGAGTACATAAGTATGAGTGGCGTATAAAGTAAGCACACATATTGTAACTGTTAAGCACACACTGAGTTTAATGTGAAAATAGGTGCATTTTATGTAATTAGCGGCACGGCGGATTGAACCACGTCGTCATAAAGTAAAATGTTTTTGAACCGTAAAATTATATTACTTAATGTTAGTTGGTTCAGTTTATACGTGGTTGAGCCACGCTACAGTTATATTATGGTTGAAGCACGAATGGGTCGGTTCGACCGTGGAAAAACCACGCTCTCACAGAATACCAGCGTGAAATATCAGTCAATGCTGCTGTGTTACGTATGATGAGTGTAGAACACTGGAGACCCGTTTTACTGAAAACGAGGCATTACATCTTAGATCTGACGGGTGACAACGCATCTGCATTTTGATTTTTTATTGAGGATAAATGTACGAGTATGAGGTATATAAGCCACAGCATCAACTCACCACCAGGTGGACTGTGTGCTCTTTTGTCACCCATATTTTGTATCTATGGAAAAAGCAGCTGATGAGAAATTTGAAATAATTGCTAAACTTGATTAGGCGAGTTAGCAACATACGTGCAGGTGACTCAGAGCCTACCTTTATTACAATACTCTGTGATAATGAAAACAAATATTTATTTTGATGCTTCTTATTGTCAGGTAAGTACAGAAGAAAGTAAGGATGCAAGCAAGAAGGACGAAGTACACGAACCCCCGACCTCTAGCAGCGCGAGCACCACGGAGAATTCTAAAAACGTTGTAATGGGCAAAGCTCAACACGACCTTACTGTGAGTTCAGTAAGCTTAGTTTTAAACTTTTATTTTTAGTTTTACAATAATATAAGCTAACTTAATGAAATTTTAAAATAAAATATTTTAATCAACAAGGTGTATGAAAATGCAATATTGATAATTAATTATGCATAAGAATAATCGGCCTTATATTTAGTAAATACTAAGACCACCATGTTAGAAACGAAATATTACATATCCTAACAATTAATACTACCTTATTTCAAAGATATAGATACCTACTTTCAGTATTTTAAACCAACTCAAGAAAAGTTCCAGAGAACTGAACAAAATTTACGTCAAATGTTAACTACCATTGGTAAAGTTGTCAGACTTGACTGTAATGGCAAGGTTGCTCCCCCATTATCATACAGACTGGAAAATATGTGTCAGGGTTGTGAAAAATCCTTGATTACGTGCTTTACTTCATTTTTTTATTTAAATCTTGTCACAGTAAGTGTCTAGGCAAAAATCTAAAATATAACAAACAAAAATAAATACTCTCTTCTAATATTATAAATTAAATTGGTGCAATAATAAGCTTAAATCAGTAATGGTATAGATAAAAAATAAAGCTTGTCATAATCTTTTTAACAAGTATTCGTTTTTTTATTTGTCATCATTATAATTTTATTAGGATTATGTAAAAAATAATAATTGTAATCCATCTATATATTGTTTTTCCACAGTAGCAAAACATTCATAATCGTTTAAAATGACATTGCTCGACATTGTGCAAATTAACATCAATATACTCCAGTTGAAAATATGAAAAATACTGAATAGTCATAATATTATTAATACCCGACAGTGAAATAAAAATAATATAGATTTCTCTTTTCTTTTCCTTCACTTTTGATAAAGATGAACCGATTGACAGTTAATTTGGTAAATTCGGTTTAATAGTCCACTACGGTGAAACACCCATATACAAATATACATACATACAATATCGCGTACAAAATACTTCCTGTGCATAGCCGTAATCGGGTAAAAATATAGGTTGAAAGTGACAACCCTTGGTTGTAGTGGCGTAGCAAAATGGCATGTTTAATTAACCGTCACATCGTGGCATCATTAGTATGGTTACTTTGCCAAGTCAGTTTTATATAAAAAAATGTTAAGACCACTATGTTAAAAACGGAACATTACATTTCCTAACTATTAAGGTGAAACATACGGTCTGTTCCCGGCCATATTCCCGCGAGATGGCGCTGAAGTCATCATTTTTTAGTTTATTTGGGTTTTTGTGTAATTGGAACATTATTAAGTCGTAGAAGTAGCAATCGCGGTACTCGGACATTATATTTTATTTTACTAGGTCATATCATTGCCTCAAAATCTACACAGTTCAATACAAAGTCCGAAAATAACATCTGTCATTGAATATAGTGTCATTCACACACACATACATGGGTGAATTCTTAGTCCCTACATTTACGAAAATTGAACACTAGATGGCGTGAATGAAAAAAAAGGTAAGTTATATTTGTAGGCATAAATAAACTATTTAATTCAATAATAATTTTGGGAAATAAATTATTTCAACACTAAGAACAATAAAACTCAGTTTTATAAATTAACACTATTGCAATTATTGCTCAAAACAAGTATTTGAAGTAACACTGATAAATGCCTATTCACTCAAAACTAATAACACAGATGATTTGCAACATAACCAATTATTACGAAAATTTGACATTACATAACACGTAAGAAACTATTCATAAACAAGAGATAACAACAAATCGTCGCGTTAAAATAATATTTCTAAATTAACTGTCATGGTGCCATATCGAAAACAAAGCTGTCAAAACGTTACGTTGTCTGTGGTAATCGTGATTTTGTACCCGTATATCCCGGATGGCAAAGTTAACTTCTATTAGTAAAGTTGCCAGATTTGACTGTAGTTATGGAATGTATAAAAGATTTTAAAATGACAATACTAATATGACATCAAAAAAGATATTTTCATTCTTATCTTTTACTTATTTGTTAGGCAAAGATTTATGACGAGAGAAAAAAAAATAGATAAAATATTATATTTATCTAATTGTCTGTATCGTAGGGTGTTGAGGATCAATTTGGTGGCTTTATTATTTCTCGATTTGATAAATCTGCTGCTTCGATGTTACTTTATTTTATTTAAAAATTTGTTTTCAGGATGCTTTGCCTCACGCGAGGAAATCTGAAGGCAATCTGCTGCTTCTTCAAGTGACTTTGCATCAACCTAATCTGTATTACTGGCGAAACGAGACCCAGAAGACCTTACAGGTACTTTAAGTATTGAGATTAGCTCATAAATGGGCTGGAGACTCTTTTGTTAAATACAGATTTAACATTAAATAAATTCGTTAGTGTGTCATAGCGCTCGCCTAGTGGTACGTAAGGGACTCAACTACCTCATATCATTGTGCGGATGTCTTAAGAGCCGTAAAAGAGAAATGAAATACGGGATAATTAATAGCTTCTTAATAATATCTTCTTGTAACTGATATCAATTTAAAAACAATAAAAACGGATTTTAATTTACGAAAAACCCGACTGCCATACGTCGTAAAATTGGCAAAAATCATAATTATGTTGAGTGCATTGATCCTAAGCGTTAATTCTTGCACAAGCACGAAAATAAATATTTAACATTTTGAACATTTTTATCTGTATTTTCGAACTGGTGGTAGGTTTGATGTTCACAAATACAATAAATAAAAACTGCTACTAAGTTTTTGACATTAATTAATTTCACATAAAATTGTGTTGCTGAAAGCATTATAATTAATTTTTATCGATAAGTGTTTGTTCCAACTTGCGACAGGTGTCGCTGTTCGACGCGGGCGTGTCGCTGGGTGCGGGTGCGAGTGCGGGCGAGGCTGCGGAGGCGGCGTGTCGCTCGCTACTGAGTACGCAGCGCGGCGCGCGCGACCCGCTCACTGACATCCCGCCCGCGCTCGCCACGCTCAGGCTGTCCCTGCCCGTTGCCGGTACGCATGCACATGCATGCATACACACACACACACACACTCTCTCTCACACACACACACACACACACACACACACACACGCACGCACGCACACGCACGCACACGCACACACACACACACATACATACACACACACACACACACACACACACACACACACACACACACACACACACACACACACACACACGTGCACTACTTATATATAATTTCTGCACTCTCTGCTAATGAGTAGCATCGCTATTACACCTACCGAGTAGAGTGACGAGACAGTGCCCTCGGCCGAGCGTTATTATCCACGAAGTTGGTTTTCAGTGCGCCCTCTAGTGACGACGTTTAGTTAATAACGTTCTATGACTTATAATGTGAACGTTGTTCCCGAAAAACTATAACTTATTACTGTAAATAATTGAAATAAGCATGGTGAGTGCACCATGCTTATTTAATAGTGATTAAATGCGAATTACAATTCCAGTAGGCACAGTATGAAAAGTGTTTAAAGCTGTGTTGATGAACGTGATGGTGTAGGTGTAAGTACCTATGTATAAAATCTATTCACGTGCCGCAGGTGCAGGCACGGCGGGTGGTGTTGCGGGTGGTGCGGTGGGTCGAGGGTCACTGCGGCTGGACGTGGAGCGGCCAGTACTGCTCGACCTCAGCACCGACCGCGTCGCGCGACTTCACTGCATAAAACAACTAGTGAGTATTCGCATTTACTCACATACTCGCACACGCATAAACATACACGCACGTACATGCATGAACACGCATGCAGGCATTTTTCTTTGGTTATGGACTATTTTTTAATTATACATTTCCCAGTAAGTCAAGTAATAAGAAATTATCCAAAATAACATTATTATGCTAACTTATTCACAATATGCTGATGCCTCACATTGCGAAGTTTTTGGGAGATTTTGACGACAGCTCAACTCATCGCACAGTTGATGACGACGGTAACTCAAGTTCTTAAAACGTCGAAGCGAAAAAACTAACTTGAGATTTATATCAAATTCGAAGCACTTGTTTCGTCATCTCCATTAATAATTCAAATGCGCAGACACCTTATTCACAAAACCGCATCACTTTTACCTATCAACATAAACTTCAAACCAATATTTAAATGATTACACAAGAGCAACAGTCCGTCGACCGTCAAGTTACCGCCAAAACTCAGGCACGCACTTACGAAGTACTTGCCTTTTCAAGTTACAGACCAACAAAGAAAGATAGACTGAGCGCTGTGTATGTTTAAAGTGATGCCGGAACCGTGCTCAACTTCTTTATACGCACTGACACACACACACATCTTTCTTTCTTCATTAGTCCGTAAAAGTTCACCGCTGGACGCACACATATCAACGTAAAAACATGTTGTTGGTTGCAAATGATTTTAGATGCATATGTGTATGTATCTATATTTAGGATGACTCTGAATGACAGAGTGAGAAACTGTTAAGGGAAAAGTGTATTTTGCAAGAACATGTTGTGGCCAGAATCAAAAAAGGAATGTTTCGGTCTAATTAGTGATGCAGAAAAAATTAATGAGGAAAGATTGACAAAGCAAATTTATTTTGCAGAAGTGAATGTTAGAGTTGTCTAGTGACGTCCTAGACGTAAGTTTATCGACCAAATTGGCGAAATGTTGAAGATGGGCAAAATTAAGACGAGCATGTATGCGTAGGTATATAGATATGAAGAAGGCGAGATAGGTGTGTCAGGATCGTGCCAAATGGAACTTATTAGTCTCTGCTTGCCCCTCTGGGTAACAGGCGAGTTTATGTATGTATACGTGAGTACGTGTTCTTATAATAGCAAGTTTTGGCTTAGTTTTTGCGTCTTAAAATATACGCAGCGCTCCATATCTCTTTTCTTTGTTGATCTGACTTTCAACCTGATCATAATATTTTCCGATGTAGGAGTAAAGGTGCGACACCGCCTTTGGTCTTCGAATACGAGAATAGAATAGAATAGAATGATTTTTATTCAATATTGATTATTACATAATACTTATTGAAAGTCAGTTTTCATTTACCAGAGACACTCAAATTGTAGGTATGATTCTTTCGCGATATCTAATTGTATTTGTCATTACCAATAAAGTCGGGGGGTTGCAACTGTGTATGATTCTGTTAAAACTTTAATCAATTTGGTTGGACAGAATGGATGCCACCATAATGCTAAGCTTTACGGAACTGTTTTAGTTTTGCAATATATCATAGTAATCAAACACTTACTGTTCCTATATAATAATAAGGTAACGATCTTGTAAGATATGCAGGAAGTCGATGGATACAAGTGGCTCAGGACTGTGCTTTGTGGCATTCCTTAGGGGAGGCCTATGTTCAGCAGTGGACTTGTGAAGGGCTGTAATGATGATGATGATATAATAATAATAATTTTTAAAATATTTTGCTAAACGATTTCCGTTACCGTTTACTTTAATTAGAATTGTTGTGATATGCGCCTTACAAAGTTTGTATGATATTGTGATATACAGTTATATATTATGATATCTTAACGCCATGCTGCAGCTATATTGTGGTTGTAGCACGAATGGGTTGGCTCGGCCGGGGAAGGACCACGCTCTCACAGAATACCAGCGTAAAATAGCAGCTTAACGCTGCTGTGTTTCCTATGGTGAGTGTAGAGAACCGGAGACCTCTTTTATTGACATAGAGGCATTCCATTTTAGTCCTCACGGGTGACAACGCATCTGCATTTTGATTCTTAATCGAAGATAGATGTAGATGTCTATGGGCCACAGCAACCACTTACCATCAAGTGGACTGTGTGCTCGTTTGTCACCCTTATCCTATATAAAAAAATACAGGGTTATTTTGCAATAACCGGCCTAATTTTCAGAGAAGTTTCATAATAAGTAATATAGGCAAATGGTGAAGAAAAATTAATTAAAAAAAATCTTAAACATTCGGTACTTTTTATCTTTTAAATTCAAGTGGTAATGCATTATTTTAACTAATTTTACTACGCACGCCCATGTAAGGGTCGATCGGTAGGTAGGAAAAAACGTTGTTGTCAATAAAACACATTCAATTTGGGATAACTTTAAATATAAGTAAAAGCTTTATTTAGTCGTACTTTCAAAAACTGCAATAACGGTATAGCAGTAATTATATATTTGAACTTGGGTTTAAAATTTGCTACTCTTTGAAAAATAACCCTGTATAAATGACAAAATGGCTCACAACACTCAAAACGTATTATTGGTGAATCTATGTTTGAATGATGAATATTGATAATATGATATTATAATGATTTCATTACTTAGTTGTTTATCCAAGTGACCTGAGTGAAAACTACAAAATACATAATACGTTAAGTTGCAAGGTGTTTAGTTCTATGGTGAACCGAACAAGAGTAATGCTTTTCATAAATCTGCATATGATTTTCATTTATTAGATGCAATGTAATTGTATAAAAATAAATAAACATCACCTATTTTAAACAATTTCATAAAAGGTTTTTAGCCATTGAAAAATATGTTGCAGAAATTATTATAGTGTGCAATAATAATTTTCACATTTTAGGTAATTAAGCAAATGACGCCTGCTGGAAGTAATACAAAAGAAGAAGAAGACATCAAAGTGCAGCATCCAATTTTATATAGACTACGAAAATTTATGGGTAAGTAATGTTTAGTGATAATTGGTTATAAGGCAGAAGTGAGAATGTCAGCACTGCCATGGTTTCTTTCTTTGAAGTTCGTGCTAGTTTTCACTGTCTACAGTGGCTTTTTATAATCGTGTGGAATGTAAGATTTTTGTTCCGGCGTAAGCAACCACATGTCATCGTGTGGATGTCGCAAGAGGTGACAGACGGAAATGAAACAGACAAGAGATGAGCATCAGCGTTTTATGATAACACCTCAAAATAATAAAAAACTACGATTGCCAACTCACCTGCTAAGTGTGGCAACTATTGCAAATATCCCTCTCGTGAGGTAAGCTATGAGAGAGACATATGTTTAGTACTGGACTTTTGATATGATGATGATACAAAGTTTTAAGCTGCTATTTACGCTGGTATTCTGCGAGAGCGTATTTCTTCCCTGGTCGAGCCGATCCATTAGTGCTACCACCATAATATAACTGCAGCATGGCTCTAGCACGTATAAATATGTAAATTACCTGTTTCGTAGAATGTATCTAATTTGTGGTGATGACTACCGGTGGCTGTTTACAAAAAGGCGATCTGCTCTGCCTAATTGGTCTAGAAATATAAACGCCTATAATTCAGTTTTAAAATTTCACCTTTTTGGCTCAAGCTGCGCAACGAAGGCATCCACTACGTTTCTGCCATCAAGGCGGCGACTCTAGAATGAGGTGAAATATTTGATAGAATTCATAGTGGGGAACTTAATTTGTATAGTAAATTTTAGGGTTAATGTTTCTTTCTGTAACATTAGTTAAATTTTGTATTAATTGGATACAATTTACCGGAGCCTCTTTTTACTGGAAACGAGGCATTACATCTTAGTCCTCTTTTTGATTTTGATTCGTAATCGAGAAAAGATGTAGATGTTTATGGGCCGCAGCAACCACTTCCCATCAGGTGGACTGTGTGCTCGTGTGTCACCCATATCCTATAAAAAAAACAATGAATAAACCAAGCTATAGAGTTAAATTGTACAGAAAATTAAAGAGCAGACTACTGAGGCTTTGTTTTGTGAATTAATATGATACTCTAGAAACTGATAAACATTTATTTAAATTTAACTTCTCAATTAAACTAATAAATTCACCTCAGTCACAACTAGCGATATCTGGTGAGCGGAATATTATTAGTCCTCATTAGCCACGTAAAAATATACTGGGCATTGTTTTATGTGTTGGTACTGATTGGGGGTGTGTTTGTTTGTGGTAGCGCGGCAGACGATCGAGAGCGCGGTGGTGGAGTGCGGGCAGATGGGCGTGCGGGGGCGGTGCGGCGCGGCGGGGTGGTGCGGGGCGCGGCTTGAGGCGCGGGCGGGCGCGCGCCCCGAGCGGCTCAGCGTGCACGCGCTGCTGCTCGCCGTACACGCGGCGGTTGCGGACGCGAGCGACGCACGCGACACGCGTGACACACGCCGCCCGCTTCTGCTGCCCACCACGCTCGGGTCAGTACCCCTACAACCAATTATTACTCATAAGTTTTTTACCTTCTGATTTTACTATGTAAAGGCGGCTACGCCAAGTTCATATGCAAA